TAGAAACCAAAATGGTATTTCTGTCTATATTAATAGTTTGGTCTCATGAGGAAATTATTTTCATCTGTGCGAATGCGTCGTGCAGTTACGATGCTACGGCAGCAAAATCGCTACTATTTTAAACGATTTCAGTCAAAGTTTAAAGAGAAAGAAAAATTTGTTGTTGCTTGTTTAAGTCCCCATGAAAAACTTGCCATCAGGAAATTTTATGTGTTGGTCGTGCAGCGACGGCAAAGAAATCCGAAAAGCGTGCATCATACATAATGCACGCGCAGAGTAATGTTTTGCTTGTTAAAACCCAATGCTTTAATTTTTTTAACTTTGCTAAAGTTCCCTAATGAAACCAATCGGACGGATATAAGCTTTCTTTTTATGACCTGGCTTGTATATTATTACTTAATCAGGGGCACCCAACGACAATTTTCGGAAAATATCTGTTCGGAAGAAGATTTGAGATCTAGAATTTTCGGAACATTTGTTGTAAAATTTCTTGCTTGCCTGCCTCTAGCATTTTCGAACATCTAAAAAAAATGGTATAATTGCCCATTATTAACGGATTTTTACCCTAAAAAGGTCACCTAGAATTTTCGGGAGCCTTTTTTTCTGGCTGAAATTTTCGAAAAGGTAAGTCTTGATCCCTATAATTTTCGGATCACTATACTTTCAGCTAGCCCACCGCAATCCGAACAGATGAAAAATTTTTAGGGGATAAAAATATGGCCATATTTACCCTTTAAATACTAAAATACGTTTAAGGCTATGTTTGAGTGGTTTTGAACTATATTCTCGTTGGGTGCCCTTAATTAATTTTAATAAATAAAGTGCAGTGCTTGGAAGGTCTCAAGCAATATATTTAACTTGAACGCTGCATGCGGTTTTTATTATTTGCGTACGCTTTTCTTAAAATGTGACTCAAAGTTGAAAGATCCTCACTTCAATTCATGAATCCTAATTTACTAAGAACTAAACAAAAAGAAAGCTGAACTTTCTGAGGCTATCCCTTTTCAATCCATATTTGGCTGGTTTATGTTATCGTCCGGTGGCCGGCCGGGACCAAGGACCTAGTACGCAAAATTTACTTTGGAATCATCATACCTTTGGTTTTAAAACTAAACCTTGCGACCGAATTTTTTGGCAAGTCGAAACAACATTTCTTTTACGCCGTGTACACCAAAAATTAGCTTTCTTAACGCCCTTAATCGCATATGCCTGAATTCAAAGTATATCCAAGTAATTTAAGGCGTCATAAAAAACAAAAATAACAGAACAAAATTCACCTACGTTCGCGTTAACTTCATTCTCCAGCCTTCACTAGCAGCTCCCTGCAGTTGTATCAAATTGAATTGTCTTCAATTTAATTTACATCAATGTTTCCTTTAAAAGATTATTCGAAGGTATGCTGCTTTCAACTACAAATCCAGGGACTAAATTCAAACGACCCTCGTCCAGTGACGTCCAACATTAAACAATTTAAACTAATTATTAGGCGATACTGTTTCCAGGAAGATGTGTATCGTCGTCATTGTACTACGTAGAACTCTCGGCTGGATCCCTGTATTTCTCATACAAAGTCTTTAAATCGTTAGTAATATGCAAAACAGTATCGAAACTCGCGGTAATTTGTGCACCGAGCTTGGGTTACCTGTGGTTCACCAAAGAGTGAGAAATGCACGCAGTCCCGAAACTTTCAGTTTGATATAAACCCCGTCCATTTCAAAATACTGTCTACCTGAAAACTAAAACATGGAAACGTATGTAAGGGTGTTTTAAAGACGCCGTTCCAAAACTACAAGCTTGAATTCACAATACGTATTTAAGCTTGCATCGATCACGACTCCTTTTTTTTAAAATCATTATTAAAATATTATCATAAAAAAAATAAACAACATAGGAGATGGGAGATAGGAGTCAACGCTTTCTCGGCTTGTTTATACACGAAAATGGCCTCATACTTTCATGGCATATTTCCTTGCTGGTATGATTGAGCTGGTATGATTGAGTTATTTGTTTACTTAATAACTGCTTCCGCTTTCAGCTCACTGCATGCACGTAGCCTGCATTTGGTTGCGATGGTGAGACAAAACTTTGGCCCCAAATTGGGTATGGAAATATATATCTCAGTTCACTTATATGTTTTAAGAGAAAGAGAACTATAGCTACTTGGTGTGATACTCGCGACGAGTAGAAATTTATATAACATTTACATCAAGTGAATTTTATTTTGCGCTGTATAAGTTTCATAGTTTTCCTTACTCATTAGTCCAAAATCCTGGTAACAGTAAAATGAAATAGACTGAACTATGCCTCAAATGCTGTAATTTGCATGATCAAAAACATTTTCCCCTGATAATGAAGACATGACTTCTCCGAAATGTCGGATTTTATAGTTCGTTTTTATCGTTTTATGTCTTAAGAAATCTCTTTTGATACGAACTCTCCAAAACAGCTATTTAAATATTTCCTTTAAAACTGAAAAATTCTGCTGAGGTTATGAGAAATTTGACTCACGCTCTTGAACAAATCCAACCTTTGGGAAAACTTGGATGAATCAAATATCAGAATGACTTGACTGGTGATCTGCCGGGGAAGACCTCCTGGCTACCACTTTTACTTCTATACTAAGTAAACAACTCCTTTACAGCTTTGCCGCTAAGTTATATTTCCTTGATGTGAGACTGTTGACTAGCACAACTTCATAACTTAACTTATCATATGAATTCAATTTTGCTCGATCAATTTCACCGTCGGTTTTCTTTACTCTCTCAGTTGTGTCTTAGTAACACTATAGTTGAACTCGCCGTAACCTTTTTGGAAATTGTCTTAATTAAAAATTATAAACTGTTGAGGGTGTTTTTAGGAAGACTAAACTGTTGTACTCTTCTGTCTTGTATCGTTAAATTCGAACTAAGCTTGTACGCTTTTCTTAATAGAAACGTAGAATTGTGAATTGTTGTTTTAGTTCTCTTGAATGTGTAATTATAAAGTTTTAGGATAAATTTATCCATTTACGAGATTACAAAAGGTTCGATTTCTTTCAACTTGCTTACAGCACCCTGCAGTTGTATCAATTTTCTTCAATTTAATTTACATCAATGGTTTCTTCAGAAGATTTATTAGAAGGTATGCTGCTTTTAAATACAAATCTAGGGAGTAAATTCAAACGACCGGCTTCAACGTTCTCCATGAAAGAATTTAAACTGATTAATATTTAACCATGTCATTGTGCCACGTAGAGTTGTCGACTGGATCTCAGTTGAAAAATGTTCTCTAGCTTAAGCTTAGAAACCGTATTCAAGGTTGAATCGATCACGCCTTCGTGTTTTATTTTTAAATATTATTATTAAAAATATTATTATAGAAAGTAAGCAAAATAGGAGATGAGGGATAGGAGTAAAAGTTTTCTCGGCTTGTTTATTCACGAAAATGGCCGCAAACTTTCGTAGCACATTTCCTTGCTGTTACATGTATGATTGAGCTATTTGTTAATAACTGCTTCCGCTTTCAGCTTACTGCATGCACGCAGGCTGTATTAGGTTGCGATGGTAAGACAAAACTTTGGCGCCACATCTGGTATGAAAATATATCTAAATAAAACTATAGCTACTTGGTGTGATACTCTCGACAAAGAGGAAATTTATAACATTTACATTAAGTGACCACACCTTGATGAGCTTACCATCAGATAGTTTATTTATTTATTTATTTATTTATTATTATTTTTTTCTTCACTCGTTTTCAGTCTAGCTCATTAATAACAATCCCAAGGAACTACTTCAAGTTTGTTAGTTTTTAACCAAGTCAGTTTACTGTAGCCCATATGCATAAATTATTACAAAAAGTGACGTCGTTACGTTACAAAAAGTCAATTATAATTCTTACTACATGACATTGACGTTTGAATCAAAGCACATCATTTCACGAGAAGAAGCACTGACGGCCATTTTGTTAAAGGTATGTCGATGCGAAAGTTAAGATCGTTTTGGTTGACCATTTAATTCATTTGAAGTTATATAAATAACCAGCGACACCTAGCGTAGATTGTTGTACTCCTCTGTCTAGTATCGCTAAATTCGGACTAAGCTTGTTTTCCTTTAAAGAAATGTAGAATGGTTGTGTCTGTTCCTTTTTGAAGCTTATTAGGATAAACTAATATCCATTTACGAGATCACAAAAGATCACAAAAGGTTCGATTCTTTAAACTTGCCTACAGTACCCTCCAGTTACAACAGTTTTATTCAATTTAATTTACAATAATATTTTTTTCAGAGATTATTCGAAGGTATATGCTGCTTTCAAGTACAAATCAAGGAAGCAAATTTAAACGACCCATTTCCACGTTCTTCATAAAACAACTGAAACTGATAATTTAACGATACTGTTTTCCAGAAAGCGGCAAAGATAGATGTATATCGTCCTTATGATTTTACCACGTAGACCTCTCGATGCCAAATCAAAAATATTCTCTTGACTAGTATTTTTTTTAATCGCCGCTCTTTCCATCCTCGGAGACCCTGGGGGAAGTCACAGTCGGGTCGGAAGAAAAAGCGCGACGAGAGTTTTCAAGCACGGACGGAAGAGCACAAAATATTCTTTGTATTAATGTGCCCACTTATCGGCGAAAAGCATCTCCTGAGTTCTTTTCCTGTGTTCGTACACGACGGTTGTTATCTCGCCATACTTGTCCGGTTCGTTCACCAAAGAGTGAAATGCACGCAGTTGGGAAACTTTCAGTTTGATATGAACCCCTTCCATTCAAAATAATGTTTACCCGTATGTACGGGTGGTGGATGTCGAACTTCTAAAGACGGGAAAAGAAGGATAATCGGTTTGCCTTCCTTCCCTCCCTCCCACTCAAGGAAAAATAAATTATTAATTAAACATCTTAATGGTAATTGGTGGCATTTTTAAAGAACAGCTCGTAAAATGAAACGTGACTATTAGATAATCGACCTTTCAAAAATATCTTAAACTTTTTTGTTGTTGCAGATAACCCAGTGATCATGAGGCTTTATCATTATTGGTATATTGTTTGTCTTATCAATGCCTGGATTATTTCTGAGGCGGACTATCCAGAAAGGATCGAAGACGACAACCGCGATGTTAGTACACCTGAGTGCGGAGAAGAAAGCAGCTTCGTGGTCAACAAGTGTGAAGAGCGTTGTGAATGTAAGAACGGTAAACTGACCAACTGTCACCGTGTGCGAAAGGAGTTCACCAAAATGACCATCGAGCATAGAAAACGTTATATTAACACTTATAAGTTGGCATCGGTCCATCCTCTGTTTAAAAAAGGTTACGAAAAAACTGTCGCACTCCATTTGAACGAAAGCGATGAAGCCAGACTTCCTGAAGTCTTTCTTCCCTGGCACCGGTGGTATTTGACTGAGTTTGAAAACCTCCTGCGCAGAATCGACTGTCGTGTGACCATACCCTTTTGGGACTGGAGCAAAAACATTCATCATTGGTGGAGAGGAACTAAAAAAGAAGACCTTTGGAATCCTGAGGATCACGGTTTGGGAGGAGATGGAAGTAAGCTTGATAACCACTGCGTGGAGAACGGACCTTTCAGCAGAGATAAGTGGAGTCTCTTGGATGTGTCCGGAGGAGGGTGTTTAACAAGGAATTTCTTGAAGCGCAGTCTTGTTCACGATACTGAGAACGTTAACAAAACTTTATCGCTGCCCCTGGAAAAGTTTAATGAATTTGAAGAAACTCTTCGTTCAGATTATCACATAGAGCCTCACTTCGTTGTCGGTGGTACAATGAATAATCCTCTGATTTCAGCAAATTCCCCAGAACTGCTTCTTCACCATGCATTCTTGGACAAATTGTGGTATGAATGGCAAACTAAAGGAAACGAATACAAAAATGTCTACTTTCCAAACGTGCCCCTCAAATTTCATGGTTCAAAGTATTATTGCTGGGAATGGATCGATTCTAGTAACCTTCCCGGTGAAGTAAAAGTAGTTTACGAAGAATGATCATGAGTGTAAAAGCCATAAATTTTACAGTGAAATCATCCGTTGTCTGTGAGGCAGAAATGATAAACTTTGATATTTAAAAATAGGCTTATTTGTTACGACTGAATTCTGTGCTTAGCGAAGTAATAGCTTTTGAACCATCTTAACACTGAGTTCGTCAGTTATATGCCAACTGCTTTATTAGAAAACTAAAGGTTGTTTAAATTTAAGGCCTTTTAATATATAGTTGTTCAGTTGGTTTGGGTTTATATTTTATTCTGTTTTTGTTTGTTTGTTCGATAGTTAGTTGGTTTAATATATTTTTCATGCGACATCACAGGTAACTCGTGCTCAGTGATAGTAACACAGTACAAACCCTGTAAAATTACATTGCTTGTATGGAATAAAGTTCCGATCCTAAAACGTAAATAAAAGTCAATAAATTTTGTTTTGTTGCCCTTAATGTTCATACGGAGTTTCGTGAAATATATCTGCAACCAAATTCTCCCTCCATGAAATAAAATCAATACACAATGTAGGTCTGTTCTGTCGCACTTTGTAATAATCGTCCCACTTTGTAATACCTGTCGCACGTTGTAATAACACTTGTCACACTTTGTAATAAAAAAAAAAATCAGTAGTTCTTTGTAATGACACTTGTCGCACTTTGTAATAAACCTGAAATGGACGGTCGGAGGACAAGAAAACCCAGTAGTATGATCAACAACAAGAATAAGACCTCTCACACGGACAGGCTTCCAAATGAAATTCTAAGCAAGATCATTTATCAGGTCTCAATTTCTTAAAACTTTTCGTGGCCTAACCATAGATGCCACGTATAAAATCAACAGTGCAATGCCGGTTAATACTTGTTTTCGCGATTTAACCCAAAGGCTGGCTTTTCAGGTTCTGTCGCGTATTTACTTCTTAAGTGGCGGTGCAGCGGGAAATGTCAGCGTTAAAAAACTCATAAGAATGTCTGGGCCTTCAAGTGGTGTTGTGCTTGAATTACGGCGAATAGCCTAAAATGAAAAATGGGCAAATGCTTGACTGGTACTGCCTTATATAGGTCTTTGATGGTTTATCATCATTGACATATTTTGGCGAAACAAGAAGCATACTTCAAAGCTCTAGGCAGAGACACTTCAATATTATTTTAGCTATTATTGGGTGAAAGAACTTAAGGCAACAAAAGGCGAAAAATGCCTTTTTACAACTTACGTAGAAGATGGAACTTGAGCATAAACGTTCGAGACTGAGATGTTTTGTTAGCATCTTTGTACTTGAGATTTGCTTTTCGTGTTTGTTTTTTTTTTCTTGTTATGTTAGCTGGTGGGTCACACTTTCCGACGTCGCATTTTCTGATTTTTATGAATGATTCTGTTTCATGTTAGTTCCAGCGGATTCGACCACTTAAATTATTATTCATTGTGGCACAATGACGACTAGGCAAATGATATGCAATATTTTAAAGAAAGTTTTAATGCGATTATTATAATAATAGTAATAATAACGAAGATGATGATTATGATGATGATGATAGGATCACAGGCCGGATTGTAATCAAGCAGTCTGGTTAAAAGCCCAGTTTTTTCTTCATTTTCGCGAATTGTTGAATGATTTTTCGAACGTTTTAAAGTTTAAAAATCAGGGGGAATGTTTAAAATCCTGGAAAATTGGAAAACATTGGATTTGGGGGTTGAAGCGAATAATTAGCGTACAATTACCAGATACTTCATCGCCACAACAAGGTACCTCTGAGCCTATTAGTATTCTCTGCGCACTTCTTAACCCTCGCCGTTATCCAATTTTTAGGTGGGGGGGGGGGGGNTAAATAAGGTACCAATGGAAAGCTATACTCTCGTTGATTTTGCTAATAACCATCTTAATAGCTTAAATGGAAAGCTTAATGGGTCCAGGAAGCTAGAGTAATATACATGGGTCCATATAAACCCAAAACGACCAAAAGTGGCTAATTAATTTGAGGGATTATCAACTTCAATCTGAGGTTTGCCTTATGCTAAAAATGCGTTCTAACTGGTTTTGAAAAAGTTTACTAGGTTGAACTGAAGGATTGTTGCAGTGATTGCTTTCTCTCAAAAGCATTTCACTTTCCCTTTTCATCGAGCTTCTGCAACAAAGTATCCAGTTTTTCTTCCAAACGGTTCGTCGCTTTTCTAACTTCCCTGCTAACAATGTCCTCTACACTTTCTTGAAGTTCTTCCTCCGAGGCATGCATCTGAAAACAACCGATTAATGATACAAGAAAGCTTACACCTGGTAAGAAATGCAAAATGCCAGCTGAAATGTTTTATCATCACCTTAAGATTTCCAATCTTGCAGTTAATTGTTACATGTGAGCTGGTCGTGAGACTGACCTCTACAGGTGTAGAAGGCCTAAATATAAAAATCGACCCTAAGTATAAAAGCCTAAAGGTGATAACATTTTGCCGTAAACGTAATAAATTCGTAAATGTAATAACATTTGGCCTTAAATGTAATAAACTGTTGAGTAGGCCTTTGATGCACTGACGTTATGCTAACGTCATCAATGACGTAAGTTACTCTTCATGAAAGGAGCTGTGTTCATTTTGTTAATGTTGCCAATTACCGTTTTAATCGAATAAGCGTCGTCCCCGATTAAGCGCCGCGGCCCTGATGTAATCAAAATCAAATGACGCTTATTTTGTCAGTTTAGTACGAAAAATAATAACACCGTAAATAATACAATTCCTTGAGTACTTGAGGCGTGAAAAATTTAATAAGCGTCGCGGTGCTTATTCAAGTAAATACGGTACGTTTCCTTATGTAGTATTGAACTTAACGTTAACAAATAAATTACTTAAAAACGAAAAAAATAACAGTTTCCTTCAAGTAAATATACTAACCAAGCACTATAGGAAACATTACAAACAACAAAAAATGAACTATGAAAATTGTTAGGCTAACAAGTTTTCAAAACTTACAATTTCAACCCGTTTCAATTGTCTTCAAGTTTGTCCACCCATACCTACGTTTGTATTCCCTGTGTTAAGAATACCTTCTTATAATGTTTTGAGCGATTCTTTTTATGTTTCAAACAATTTGCGATAGTTCTTACTGTTATTTTGATTACTCCTTTAAATAAATAATTGGCTTGGTTATCATCGGCTTATTAAGTGCAGCGCTAAGAATTGTATTAACTAAGGTATTAAATTATTATTTTCCGAATTTTAAAACTAACAGAAGTAACGACTTTTGATTGATTTGAATTTTTCAGCGTCGCGGCGCAGGGGCGATACTTATTGGAGGGCGGCACTTAAACGGGGCGGCGTTTATTCGAGCAAATATGGTAATTAGCAAAAGTAACAAAATGAAATAGACAGTCGTGACACAGAGCCTTTAATGAAGTGTTATTAACGTCACTGATGACGTTAGCATGAGGTCACTACATTTAAGGCCTAATGTTACCACCCTTAAAGAGCTCATTACATTTAACCCCAAATCTTATTACATTTAGGACTTCGTTTCATTTAGTGCAAAATGTTATTTCATTTAGGACTTCATTTCATTTAGGAATTTATTACATTTAGGGTCGTTTATTACATTTAGGCCTTCTACACATCTTGAGACCCTACGTTTCTCTTCTATTAATACTTTTTTGAGCGCATTAACTTAAAAGGGAGACTTTGAAAGAATTAAGACTCGATTCACAGATAACATTAGATGGGAGAGAATTCCATACACTGACGTAACGATTAAAAAAGCGATACTTAAAATGATTAGTACGAATTAAAGGCCTGTTTAAAATCATGGTTCCTACGAATCTTGAGTGTATCATAACCATCTTCTCATCTCAGCTCAACTTTGATAAATTATTATCCTTAAGTATGATCATATACGGGTTTAGCCAGAGGCACCTCAATCTGAGGCTTTTTCCCAAATCCAGAAACCCTCAGTTTCAAAATAAATCCAAGTGCAAAACCTTTCGTGTTACAGCGAGTTTTATTCGTATGAAAATCAAAAATTATTTGAAGTGTCATTTCCCAACACATCGCAGCTTAACCTCGCTTTGAAAGCGAGGATTGGGACAACTCGGAAATGGTCTAAAGATGAATTACTTTTTGAGGGTTATGTAATACAAATTTTAGTCGATGCGTTAAAAATTCTTGCATAAAAGGTTCTATACCCGAAGAATAATAAATAAATATAAAAGGTAGATTAAATAGATCGAAATAGAGTCCTTACCTTGGCCAACACACTGCTACCTTCGGTCATACCAATGAAAGGGAACAAGGGTTCTTTAAAGTCCATGAAAATAAGGCTGCTTTCCGGGCTCTCTCCGCGTTGCAAAATTATCTCACTGCCATTAAGTGTAAAGAAAACTGGAATTTTGCCGTCTGCATCTCGCTTTTTCTGAAACAAAACTGTGACGCGAATGCGATCACCTCGGCGAGCCATAGCAGGACCTGACATGACAAATGAAATACATACGATTTAATACACGAACTTTCATGTGGAAATATTTAATAAAAATATTAATTTTCCCGAAATTAAATTCCAATTGTCTCTAAAAACTCTGTGATTAATTTGTTGTCAATTTTCTTTTTGGATTTTTACTAGCTTTTGCTTGCTCTTGCTTCTAGGTAGCTCTTGTGCCGAGGAGAAAACCGCGCATGAGATCGGTAATTTCGGGGAAATTTTTGTGGAAAGTGGAGCGTCACATGTCGGGTCAGCCGTCACCAAGAAAGATGTGCTTCAGTTTTCTTGCTGACCTGTAATTTAATTTTATTCAATGCTGAAATCAACTGGCTACCTGGCTCCGCTAGCCCCCATGGTTATTCCAGGCAGCCAGTACTNGTAATACAAATTTTAGTCGATGCGTTAAAAATTCTTGCATAAAAGGTTCTATACCCGAAGAATAATAAATAAATATAAAAGGTAGATTAAATAGATCGAAATAGAGTCCTTACCTTGGCCAACACACTGCTACCTTCGGTCATACCAATGAAAGGGAACAAGGGTTCTTTAAAGTCCATGAAAATAAGGCTGCTTTCCGGGCTCTCTCCGCGTTGCAAAATTATCTCACTGCCATTAAGTGTAAAGAAAACTGGAATTTTGCCGTCTGCATCTCGCTTTTTCTGAAACAAAACTGTGACGCGAATGCGATCACCTCGGCGAGCCATAGCAGGACCTGACATGACAAATGAAATACATACGATTTAATACACGAACTTTCATGTGGAAATATTTAATAAAAATATTAATTTTCCCGAAATTAAATTCCAATTGTCTCTAAAAACTCTGTGATTAATTTGTTGTCAATTTTCTTTTTGGATTTTTACTAGCTTTTGCTTGCTCTTGCTTCTAGGTAGCTCTTGTGCCGAGGAGAAAACCGCGCATGAGATCGGTAATTTCGGGGAAATTTTTGTGGAAAGTGGAGCGTCACATGTCGGGTCAGCCGTCACCAAGAAAGATGTGCTTCAGTTTTCTTGCTGACCTGTAATTTAATTTTATTCAATGCTGAAATCAACTGGCTACCTGGCTCCGCTAGCCCCCATGGTTATTCCAGGCAGCCAGTACTCTAATTTTACTTTTAATATTTTCATTGTCGTAATTTATTTTTGAGCAAGAGTGAGTACAAATAAAGATTGTTCTGGTTATTGTTTTGTTTGGTGTAGTGAACGGGTTTTCGGACGGTAGCGGAAGTGAATAAGTAGGAAAGAGGACTGGAACCCACTGAGACGGAAGTAAATATTCATGAGTGAGGAGAGAGAAAGAGACCCAAGCCCCTCTCGACAAACCGCTCCGGTACGATGTTCGATGTGTGTGAATGATTTGTTCCAGTTCTGTGCCGTCTCTGTTCATACTGTACTATACCGGGTAGGGGTTAAATTATGGCAAGCACACATTTAAGTTTGCCATAACCAAAATCTGGCAAGAGTTTCCTACTAACATAAAAACACTAGGCTACTGCCAATTAAAAAACAATACAAACTAATTCAAACGAGGCCGTGAGGTAACTCAAATGCAAATACTTCGATTACAGTCGAGCCTCCTGTGAGCGATCAAACCAAAATCCGAAGATTTCGTGGTCGCTTACGGGAGGTGGTGGTCATGGTGGATCCGCCTTGGTGGTAGCCTACGAGAAGAGAACCACAAGGAGGGATAAATCTAAAACTGGGACAAATTTATTGCATGCGTTTCCTAAGTTAAGATGTGTGTAGTCCATTTGTCACCAAAAGGTCTTTGTATTCTTTGTCGTAGCGTAGTACATACAACGAAAATGGAGAACAGATCCTGAGTCAAGCGTTCGCTTACAAGAGCTTGAAAATAATGGTAAATTATTTAACCGTCATCGCAAAAAGTAAACGCAGTCGCTTACGCCAGGTTCCAGCTTAAAGGCCTTGAATGAAACGCTTTTTGGTATTTTGGACAGATGGTGGCTTACTGGGTTGTGGTCGCTTACGAGTGGTGGTCGCACATATACATTGTCAAGTTTCTGCACACCTTGAGGTGGGTAACGTCACTAAGAACCACGTCAAGACGGTGTATGTTTTTGTGCCCTTCAAAAGTTATATGTGTAGTGTGTATTGTCGTGGATTAGAGGATAACAAGACGGGCCCTCTTTAATTACATTATATGTTAACATGTTAACAATAAGCTCGGACGTCAGCATACTAGGGCGCCAGTGGCAGCCGCTATCAGGCCTTTTATGAGCTTACGGTAACCCACCCATCACATCACCGAGGAAACTTCCCCTACTCATTTCCAACAGTAGTGCGGGGTTTGAACCGACGACATCTCGCTCGGCAGGCCGCATCCTCAGAGACCCAAAGGCAGTCAGTCAGGTCGGGAGAAAAGGCGGGACGAAAGTTTTTAAGTACAGGCGAAAGAACCCCTGGGTACCGACTCTTACCAAACTATTTCCAAAAATTCGAGCGGATGCCTGCTCCTGATTGGGCACAAAAAAAGCTGTGTATTATTGTGCCCAATCGGTGAACAGTTTCTCCTGAGTTGTTTTCGTGAGTTCGTACACGACGGCTATTGTCTCGCCACACTTGCCCGGTTCGTTCACCAAGCTTGTGCGTGCAAGGGAAACTTTTATTTTCTACTTTCCTAACCAGAAACGAATTGAATGAACTACCGATCGATGAGTCGAAAAAACGTTGGGATGCTATGTGCAGGACCAATTGAATTTGCCCCGAGAATATTCTGTTTTTGACGGATCACAATGTATCGTAAATAATAGGAAGTTTAAGATGCGGCGGCGACGAGAAAGTCAAATAAGCAATAGCTTGACAAGGCAGAACAACAACCTCGCACGTGTATCACGCTTTTTTGTACACTTCTTTGCCGTCAACGACACGACTACCCATGAAAATGCTTGATTTCACGTTTTGTGAAGGACGTAAATAAGCCATGACATAATTCATTCTCTTCATGAACTTGGCTATGGTTGACAGAAATTCAGCTCCAGAAGAGTTCACTTGCATTTGACAAAGTAAGCGAGTTGGAATCATCACCATAAATACTGAAAAAATAGGAATACCTGTTGTATGCTGAAGCTTGTATTTTTGGAAAAGCGTCTTTATATAGTTTTCGAGCAGACAGTATATATTTTGAAATCAGATGGGGATTTTATATCAAACTGAAAGTTTCCTGACTGCGTGCATTTCTTTGGAGCATGAGCCAGACAAGCCGTGATCGAGACAATAGCCGTCAAGTACGAACACAGGAAAAGATTGGGCACAATAATACAAAGCATTTTTTGTGCCCAATTAGGAGCCGGCATCCGGTTGAATTTTTGGAAATGGTCTTGTGAGAGTAGGTACCCTGGGGCTCTTCCGCCCTTACTTGAAAACTTTCGTCCCACCTTTTCTCCCGACTCGACTGACTACCCCTGGGTCTCCGAGGATGGGCAGACCGGTGCTCTGACAACAGAGCTAACCGGGCGGTAGTATGTTGCTCACAGGGTTTCCTACCCTCAGTTATTATGGCGGTATCAGGATTATCTGCATTGTGGAAGATGTTCCCATCATCCGTATGGTAGCCAACAGATTCTTCGATCCATCCAGGCATTTTACTGTCATTGTACCCTTCATTCACAATGCCTATCCCCAACCACCTCTTTCTTCCGGTTTCTAGAACCACCACCTGTTTTGAAAAGGTGAAAGAAAACATTTTACAAACAGATTTGCCCGAAACTGGGAGAATCGACACGTTAAGGAGTTATCGACCATAAAGAAAATATAAAAGAACCAACAGATTACATATAGTTGAAATTCAAAGAAATAACTTCCACGCGAGTCTTGCTTTGTCTGTGTTACGTTCCACTTGCACCGACTCGTATTTTTATGACTTAAAAGTAATAAATCAGCTCTGGGTTTTCATAGCATAGGAAGATGTCAAACTCTCACAGTGGTTTATCAGGTAAAGCGCTTTCATAGACACCAGTATTGTATTCTTACAGCTAAGGAAGCTACCCTTTATGGTTGCCGTGCATGGAACCCTCCGTATTCGACAATCCAATTCAACTGCCAAGATTTTGTGGTCGCCCTCTGGTTCTGGAGGTGGTCGCTAACAAGAGTCGGACCACGGGAAGTCTCTAACTGGTCTGGCAGATCCTCTTACTTTAAGGATATTCTTTTTACCTACAATTTCAGTGATGAAGATGATGTGAACTGTGGAAATGTAAATGAAGATATGATTGTCAAAGTGGTACTGTAATTGCAATTTGAGCAATTGTAATTTAAACTGAACAAAAAATCGTGACTTCAACTGGATTCGAACCCATGACCTTTGCGTTAGCGTTGCAGTACTCTGCCAACTGAGTTATGGAGACCCATACATTGGGAGCAGGCTCGCCAATTTTTGAGTTCATGATGATTCATTCCATGTTCATTCCATTCACAGGTTAAGATGAACTCAACAAACCTCGAGTCTTTTAAGCGTAATTTTTATAATTATTTTCAATGTTGAAACTCTGAACAGTTTTATAACTTTTAAGAAAATCAAATAACTTTGTGACTTTTAAGCCCTATTATAATCTTTTTAATAG